GAAAGTTCTGAGTTTTCTTTTCCCCCGAAGCCCAGGAAGGAAACAGCACAAAAAGTAAATTGACTTCCAGCCCTAGAGAAGATATCCCTTCGTGCTTATAGAAAACATGACACTGGTTTAAGGCAGCTGGGAGTCCATCTTACCCCCACACAGGCCTGCAGTTTAATTTTCCTTTTCCACGACCTGCATTTTTTATTTTGCCCCATTAATTGAGGTTTGTTCCATTGGTGCCGACTGTTCACTGGCAACTAAAACTCTGACAGCCTGCTTCACAGCGACATGCATAATAGCTAAGTCTCTGTCCCTTGTCTAGTGAGTAACTTCAAAGCTCAGGACTCTTGAAGCTTCTGAGATGATTGAGTTTATGCAACAGCAAGTTTGCCTGACATTCCCATTGTCCTCTGGTTCTGTCAAAGGGCGGTAACTGAGGGCACAGCCCAGAATATACTTACACCAGTGTAAAAAACGAGCGTACACAAGACACACATCCCTATGCTGGTGTAATTTATTCATATTTGGTTGAGAATGACCCTGGGGAAAAAAATTAGAGCTGCCATCTCTCTAAAATGCATCATGGGGTAGCCAGCTGTTCAAGGCAAAACCAGCTGTTACATGTTCTCTGACACCGAGTGCTATAGTAGCATACTGTGTCTGGTTATCCCAAGATAGCTCTACGTCTGTCCAATCTGGATTCCAGTGGAATTTACACTAGCGTACAAAATAGATAACATGAAAGTTACTCTTTGAATCCTTTCCCAATTCCTATCTGCAAACCTGAGACCTGCTCTTCATATCGCACCCAGCATTAAATAAAAGCTCAGGAGTGGGCTTCAGAATGCAGAGACCAAATGTGCAGCAGTGAGGACGATGATCAGAGATACAGGTACCCATTTCTATCATCAGAAACATCTCCAAAAGCCCAAACCACCTTCCTCTAAAGTCAAAAGCCCTTTGAGTTTGCCAGAAAGAAAATCAGCTACCAAGGATATTGCAAAACCTAATTTTAAATTGGTATCTCTGGTAGACAGAACAGACATCAGCTCAAGCTAGGCAGGATTCTTCATAGAAAAAGCTTGCGTGCTCCTCTGTTTGTTCTCAAAAGAACTCAGCCCCCTGCTTTGTATGTCTACCTCACCCTTTTCTCAGTGCATCCACCCTTCTTCTACTGCAACTCCCCTTCGCACGCTGCTTCAGTCTGGGTTGGGATTTTACACACCCAAACAAGCAGCTGTCAACCAAATTGAGCACTAGGTCACTGTTCCACTCTGACTGGCTGGACACAGTCCTTCCAGACTGAAAATATGCCTGGTATACGGGTCGTGTTGACAATGAGATCCCATTTCAAATCCACCACTATGGGACGACCAGCTGGACTACCAGCCGTGCACCTCCAGCAGTGGTATTTCTAGAATACCCAATTTTTTATAATATCTGTACCCTTGGGTTGTGCAACTGTTTAGAGCATGCTTGGCTATTATGGCAACAAGTTTTCTACATCAGTATATAGTACCTACATCTGCCGTCATCCATGACCCATTCCAAACACTGCTGCTAAGAGGATCACCTTCCCAACTCATCACAACCTTTCTCTGCTTCCCTCTACCCCATCTGACACAAGCTTCTTATCTTTAAGGGCCCTTCTAGGCCTTTCCCTATTTAATTCTGCCCAATCTATCAGACCCAGTAGGAGAGAAATTCTCTTGTGCCTTATCTTCATTTTACCCTTAGCGGTGCATGATCCACATTATAATCTGTCTGTGACATGCACTGCAAACACTCTGAGATAGAAGTTCCTTTCTTTGCTAAATGTCTATGCAGCACTTAGCACAAGGGGGCATAGTTCTTCATGGATGCTCATAAACACTATTAAAACAGTGACAATACTTGCTGGAAATCTTAAGAAAAAGCTCAGTACAAACAAAGCCAAAGTTATTTTTTCAAGACCTTTCATTTCTTGGCATCTTCCAGAAAAAACTTAGGAGCTACTCATTATGACACTTACATTTAATCAAATTTTTGTTAGTGCAGTGGCATATTATGTTATATATTATATATTCCAGTGCAGTGAAGGACAAAGATAAGAATTAAGGACACGTAAAGGTTAACATCTCCATGCAAAATGAGCATGCGAATCACAGTTTGACCCTAAATTTGTATCATACAATCTGTGCTTATTTGGACATATCAAAGTAAATTGCTAAAGAAAATACTTAATAGAATATTGTCTTTATATTGCAGATAGGCACGCAGAGGCCGCGTCTACACAAAACGCAGTAGGAAGCATGATGCCATGCTACTGGGCAGTCAGAGTCACCCAAAAGCCATCCAGCAATGCTACTGCGCAGTAACTCCACTTACTGGGTAGTCATTTAGTACTTGTTTGGACAGGCACACAGAGGCTGCGTCTACACGAGATGCTGGCTGCGCAGTCGTTACTGTGCAGTCATTTAGTACTTGTTTATACTAAACTTTGTGCTTTGATGTGAGCTATACAAGCGGACAGGTAGATGCACAGTCAGCATCTCATGTAGACACGGTCTCCGTGTACCTATCCAAACAAGTACTAAAAGACTGGAGTTACTGCGCAGTAGCATCTACGAATGGCTTTTAGGTGATGCTGACTGTGCAGTAGCTCATTACTACTGTGCAGTAGCATCACTTCATGCTTCCTGCCACGTGACACTTCTGCACAGCAGTAACGAACTACTGTACAGTCAGCGTCTCATGTAGATGTGGCCAGAGATGCTTTAAAAACGAAAAGTGTGGTAATATGCAAATGAAGACAAATCCTGGTGCTGAAGAAACGCACTAGTTCCTTCACTGGAATGGAAGTAATGGTATATGAAGTTATATGGTGCTTAAACAATGAGCACTTCATATAACGTTATGCAATAACTTGCCAAGCAGACAGAATAGTGTCCTTAACACACAGTGAAATCCCAGACTGAGAGAATCAAATGCGTGATTTAAAATAAAAAGGAGAAGTTGCTCAAGTTTAAAAGAATCATAGAATCATAAAAATTAGAGTTGAAAGGGACCTCAGGAGGTCATGTAGTCCAACCCCCGGCTCGAAGCAGGACTATATCCAACTAGATCATCCCAGCCAAGGCTTTGTCTAGCCAGGTCTTAAAAACCTCCAAGGATGGAGATTCTGCCACCTCTCTGGGTAACCTGTTCCAGTGCTTTGCTACCCCTCTAGTGAGAAAGATTTTCCTAATATCTAACTTAAACTTCCCTTGCTGCACCTTGAGGCCATTGCTCCTTGTTCTGTCACCTGCCACCACCGAGGACAATGCCTGCAGTGAAACCCCACTGAATATCCACCCTCCGTATATCCACAAACTAACTGCAGCATGAATGGCAGCACTGTAAGCCTCTACCCAAAGCATTTCAACCCCAATCTTGAGGAGTCACCTCTGAAGCAAAATGTAGTCTCCGTAGCTCCTCGGTCCTGGACCTCTCTATTAAGACTTTCAATAGATACAGAACTAGCACTGTAACAGGGGGCCTTCCTGCCCACCAGTTTCTGGGCTTACTGCCTACCTCTCTCAGCTGCCATGCCTTGATGATAACAAATTATGGTGTTAATTAGGTGGGAGGCTGCCCATTTCCTACCATGCCTCCAGGAGCCCCACCGGGCCACCCATCCCTGGCAGGGTGCAGTTTTAGGTCATGCCCAAGACCAAGAGCGTCCTCCATCCCCATAGCCCCAGTCCATAAACTTTCAAGCTGTTCCTGAGCCTCAGCTCCGCCGGCTGATGCCTCTCTCATGGCTGACAGCAGCAAACTGCTGCTTCACCCAATATATATATATATATAGGGTCTCAAAACGGCCACCGTACTCAAGCACCTGGCTTCTGCCTGCTCCAGCCCTTAAAGTGGCAGACAACAAGAGTGTCCTGCCACAAGCACCAATGTAGTAGGGGATACAAAAAGAATGAAAGTCCAGCCACCCATCCACAAGCAGCTGGAGTGCTACCTGCCAGCTTGCTAATTTCTTAGGGTTATAAACAGCTCACTTCTAGCTGCTACCAACCTAGACAAAATCTGCCTCTGTAACAACCCTTCTCCCACTGCCAGTCCCCTAAAATGAAGTATTTCAATATTAACCAATTAGTCTTTCTCCAATGCAGCCGCTTTGAATTTTCATATATAATATATATATGGTTCCTACATATTTAAATCTCTCAATCAACCACTTGACAGACTTCCTTGGAGCTTTATTATATGTTGCATTGTGTTGCAATACCACCGGGGGAAACTGTAATGAAACTCTCCTTTATCTAATGGTTACCCCATCCCTAGTCAGCAAAGCATTTAAGCATTTTAAGAATTTAAGATGCAGTTATTTCAACTGCCTCCTTAAGCTTTTTGTTACCTAAGAAGCACGTCTACATGTGCAATTATTGTGACTGAATAAACTGAGGTGCAATTTGAACCGGAGTAAACTAATTCCAATGTCACTGTCTACTGTGTGTTTAAGTGCAGTAGTTTACTCCACCATCGGATAGTATCTGTGTCTGATGGGACTATCTGAAGGCATTGTAAATTAGCCTACACCAGCCTAATTGTCATGCATGTGTAGATGGTGATGCTTTACTACACAGTAAATTAGTTTACTATGCAGTAAAGTGCATATGTAAATGCTTCCAAGGATGTTGTGCCCTCAGTAAAACATATGGTGGTTAGGTGTTTTACTGAACTGGGACACTATGCAAGCACTAGAAATTGCAGACACCACATATATTGCTTCTAGCCATCTAGTATCTCTTCTAACATTTGGAATTAAGAACACAGGAGTGGTTCTGAGACATGGAACTATGGGTCATACCTTTAGGACCTGCTCTAAGTTCTCCAGCTTGACTTGGAGCTGGTGTTTCTCCTTCACAGCCAAATCTCGTTCTTTGGTCACTATGATGAGGGTTTCTCTAAGCTGATCATAGTCTGATTTTACCTAAAAAAAAGACAAAACAGGAAGAGTGAGAGATATTACTGCAAGGAAGATAATTAAATGATGGGAAAGCATTTCTGACACAAATATCCCCCAGAGCTATTCTGCCAAACTTCATCAAATGGAGAAAATATAAAGCAAAAATATCTGAAAAAGATATAGAGACAAAATATTGAAACTCAGTAAGGAATTAAAAAAATAGAACAAGGGAAATTATGGGCATGCATATATATTATATATGGGCACACGCATGTATACAAACACATATGCATACATATACTAGTTTGGTAACTGCGTCAAATAATCTGACAAGCACAATTTGCCAGGTCTTAAAGGTAAAAACTAAAAAGCAAATATAGCAGTAAATTCACAATGTAAAGGTAAAGGAAACGTAGCAGTTTTGTTGCACCTCATCTATTTGCTTGTGTGCTCTTAATTTTGGCTCTAACTTCGTAAAGAGATCCACTGAAACTACGACAGTGCTAAGCAGGGTGGATTCAGGGGCCAGTTTATGCAACACACTTGTTTCGAAGATCTGGACAACGTTTATAAGCAGCATGACCGTGATCCTGCACACTCTGATTCATATCAGTAATATTATTCATGGTCTATATATTGTAACAAAGCCACTCATTCCTGATATAAATGTGTGTTTGCAGGGTCAAAGACTGTATTTGTAAGCACTTAGCACACTGGGTATTTTGTATATTGGTGTCATATGATGCTAACTGAACTCTGTCCCTCATCTAAAGTTGCAGAGATATAAGTATAACATACCACACAGTGGGCCTCGCTGCTGATTTAATCTTTTAGACTTTACTCTAAAGGCATTCTAATGCCACACTGATGTCACTCTAATGACACTCTAATGTCAACAGGCATGAGCAACCAGAGAGAAGAGTTAGCATTTATAATAAAAATGATTTTCTGTTCTGAAAGAAAATGATATAGTCCCATGCAGCAAAATGTCATTTTCCCTTATAATTTTTGTACATCCTTTCCTTTCAAATATTGCTATCAGGAGGTCAAGTTATCCAGTCTAAATTTCTTGTTCGCTTCATCCTGCGTGAGGTTAACAATTTCAGTACAACTAACTTGGAACAAAGTAAAGAAGGATAACATGGGCTGTCTTACATCCCATGGAGATTTTTATATCAGCAGAGAATCCTTTTTCTTTAAATATTTTATTGCTTGAAATATACAGCATGTGTCCAGCAACACAATATTTACAGCATCTATCACATCAGGAATTGCAATCTTCAGAATAAAACATCATGAAGAACATTAAAAATGAAAGCCCAGTAATAACAAAAAGCCAGATAAATAATATATAGCATTCACATAGTACTTTACAAACCATCCTCTGAGGCAATAAGTCAACAGAACAAAGGGCTATTCCAGTCTTAACATAATAACATTTTGGGCATCTTTTTTCCTTTGCCAAGTGCCAATCAGAAGCATAATAATGAAAGTAAGATTAGTGGAGGCAGGGTTTGGATGAGTGAAGGACAGGCAGCATGAACCAAAAGGATATAATATGTAAACTATGACGGTGGGTCAGTCCGTTTCTCCTCCACATAGCTACAGAGGACACAAGTTCTTTTTCTGTTTCATTAATAGGGTTGCATTTTTATAACAAAAATGCAAAAGCATTAAACCATGTCCTACACAGATGTCCCTTTAGAGAGCATTTTGGAAGTAGTCATTCACATTGGCCCTCGCTAACTTCTGAATTTCACTATGGTTCCACCTGAATTTAAACTTTTCCATGTAGCCCTGCTACTGGTCTTCAAAGGAGACTTTTCAGAGTGCTATGGAAAGGAAAAGAGGACAGGAAAAATAAACTGAACAAATCTAGTTTTCCACAAGAACTATTGCAGTTATTTTCAACCTCAGGAATACCTTTTCTCCTCCAT